GTATAAAATCTGCACCTCTGTCTTGTTTTTATTGTTTACTACTTATTTATTGTCCTTTCCCTTTTTTATTGTCTTCACCCTTTATGTGTCTCGCTTATCTTTATTTCTTTCCTCTTCTCTTTGTTTATTCTATTTCTACTTTTTTGATGATGTCTCCGATCTCTCCCTCTCTCTCCTTCCCCACAGTCTGTCCATATCCCCTTCAAACAATCCTTTCACTCTCAGATATACCCTCAGGTTTTAGATTCGCGATTAATAACATGAATTATTAGAATTATATCAAGTATTATGAAACGAAAATTATTTTTTTCTAGAGATTGAATATACGGCTTTGAATTATTCTCTCCCCTAGTTGCCCTTTAGCTCTATATGATAAGAACTGTTTCTGTTGCAGGTTCGTCGCTGGGGTGATAAATCGAGAACGAGTTCCGGCTTTCGAGAGGATGCTGTGGCGAATATCACGTGGAAACGTATTTTTACGTCAAGCTGAGCTCGACAAGCCGTTAGAGGACCCAACAACTGTTAGTTCATGCTCATTTCTAATTTACTTTCTATATTGATCTATGAGAGTAACTTTTATCCGGGCTAAGCGTGTCTAATGGACTCGTTGCATAATAAGTCGCCGGATAAGGGTTAATTAAAATTAAATTACAATATCAATTCTATTAACGTACTTTTCTATCGTATATGTTTTCATCATTGTATTTGTCTCTAAAATCACGTACACCAAGGACCTGAAGCATTCGGTAAGATTTTATTGTTAATACTATCTTGGTTTTTATATCGATAAAACTATCAAATACAAATTCATTTTTATTAATTGACACCCCTCATAAAAACGAAAAATTATTGCTGGTTTCAATCATTTTTTTTATGCTTTCTACTATTTCATTGCATTATTTTAGAACACTAATTTTTTTGGTTTACGTAACAAGTTTTACGCTTGGTTGACGTTTGTTAAAAAAAAAAATGTATTTTTGAACAAGAGATGAATCATTTTCTGTAAGCCTCAACTGATACAAGAATCACCCCGATCTCTCGTGACGTTTGAAAAATTGACAGGGAAGATAACACAGTTGAGATAGCGATCTGTTAACGTTTACATATGTATAAATACAAACATAAATATTGATTTTGAAAGCAGGAATAAGTTTGCTTTGATTGTCCTACCTGAAAGATAAATATTAGAAGAGAAGAATCAAAATACAATATTTATGTATGTATAANATATATAGGGTGTCCCAGAAAAAGTGTTAGAGCCGAAAAGGGATGATTTTTTAGGTGTTTCTGAATAACAATTTCCTTTGGTAAAATGCAAAGTGAGGCATGATTTTTGGATTATTAACGAAAAACACTGACCAATGAGAGCACGCGTAGGGCCCGCGCCCAGCCACGGATAGGCTGGTTAGGATGGTGACGCTCGGCGGTAACTTGCCGCGGGCCCTACACGTGCTCTCATTGGTCAGTATTTTTCGTTAATAATTTAAAAACCATGCCTCACTTTGCTTTTTGGCAAAGAAAATTGTTGTTCACAAATACTCACAGAATCACCTCTCTTCGGCTCTAACACTTTTTCTGGAACACCTTATGTATTAGAGATGACAAGAAAATATACAGACTTCTAGCATGAAAATTCTATGTCAAGTTTTATTGGACTCCCTTACACAAAGGAATACTTGATAATGATGATACTGACAAAATCCGCTGTTATGACAAATAATGTTGATATTGAACAACTTCTTTCCTGATCTTATCTCTTTTAAGAAAAATAGCTTATCTTCTCGCAACAAATACAGTGCTAACCGATGGCACATATAAAGGAAAAACATATTTCGAATAGTTTTACTTCGATATTATTTATTTCCGTGATTCTCTTATAAGAACCTCAATACAGAATTTGCATCAACTATTGACCACATTAGAGTCAATCATTATAACATAGCAGCTTCTCTATCTCGTGTCGGTATCGTCAGTAATCCATGCTGTGAAACTATGTATCTGAATCATATTTTGTAGCAGTACCACATCTACGATCCTTAAAGAGGCAAACTTATTAAAAGTTTAAGCCAAGATAAGTTATTCCTAAAGGCAGAAGCAATAATTGGTGAACTTAAAATCCCCTAATATTTTCCTAAAAGATTGTAATCATGGCATGTAAAGATAGTTTAAAATATTAATTTTGAACTGAACAGATGCATCTGTAATGAATCTAATCAAAGTCAGAGGAGCTTAAATGAAAAAAAAATAATTTGTGTCTCCTTGGACATTGAATCAATTTTTTTATATTTTCGATGAATCAATCTTTTATATTCTCTATATATACTATTTTTCCATAAATGTGTAAAATTTGCAGTGTACTAATTAGGCAATCAGTCTGCTTCGTGACTCACCAATCACTTAATTTCAAACTAGTGAACAGATTTTACTGAAGAGCTTGATTTTGTGTCAGAACTTTTACGTAACTCGTGGAGGAGAATATAAAGTTTCTTGAAACCCTCCTATTTCAGGGTAATCAAATGTACAAAACAGTCTTCGTGGCGTTTTTCCAAGGAGAGCAATTAAAGAGTCGGATCAAGAAAGTTTGCACGGGGTTCCACGCGTCTTTGTACCCGTGCCCGCACAGCCACGGGGAACGAGAAGAAATGGTCAAAGGCGTTCGCACGCGACTGGAGGACTTGAACTTGGTGAGCAATGAGAACTATGTTTATTATTATTTTTATGCTTCAACCGATTTTTATGATATTCTTTGTATCTGTACGTAACTAAGTTAGATCTATCATACAAAAAGCATGCTATTTTTGTTTATTAGAGATCCTAACAAAAAAGCAAGATCTTTCACGATAGACTTTATTCTATACAGCAAAAGTCTGCTCCGTTCGGCGTATTCGTAACAACGTGTGCTGATGCACACAGCCAACAAATTATCAATATTCCTCGACTTTCTATCACTCCACTTGATCTCTTTCTCATTGTTTCCTTGCGCACCGATTATGTTTTCGGAAATGAAAGTCAACAAATTGTATTATCACTGATTATGAAGCTTTCACAATAAGCAATCATTGTGCACGAAGTCATTCTATTTGACGTGTCCGACTCTTATCTAATTTTTGGTTTATTCATTAAAATCTTTTTTATAATCCACCTTCGGATAAATCCAAGCAGTGAGGATTAAGTCGAAAAATTCGTAGATTTTGTGTAATTTTTTATAAATTGATAAGCCTCAATCGAAATGAATGCTGATTACGCAATCGGTGAGCACGAAATCGTTCTACTTCATGTGACCGATACCTAATTTCTGTTTTATTCCCTGTTTTCAAACTTTTATCGCATCGATTGAGTTTTATTTCCGATTTCAGAAGTACAAAAAAAATTTGGTCTGTACGTAACACTATGATATCCTCTTACATATTTTGAGTCCCTGAATGTGAATTCAGTGTCAGAAATACCTTAGTAGCCTTAAATCTCTTTTAATCAAGAATTTAATAAAATTATACGTGACGTATGTGATCAGCAAA